CTCCGTCAACACTTAAGAATCGTTCTTAGACTTTACTGAAAGTTGCTTTTAGCGTCTTTATAAAAGTCTACTACTCTTAGAAAAGTCCTACTTTTTACTAAGAATTTTTTGACACTTAAGTCAAAGCTTAAGACTATTCTTAAGAGCATTTCTGAGAAGTTTTATACATACGGGCCCTGATTCCTCATTTCATTCCTACATACTATCATAAACCCTGAAATTTTTCTATGTTTGTATTTCAAAATACCAGTTAATAACAGTGTCACAACATGCAATCTAATTTACTATATTCTATATATTTATTTTTTTCGCCAGATATTCCTTTGTCTGAATTTTGGATTTGTTTGCTGTTTTTCCATTATATCTGAAAACAATATCTGAAAAAAAAAGTGAATGGCAATTTAGACAAATCAAATGTGAAAATCAAACTGAATTTTCATGTTGGTGTGAACAGTCCTTTAGAGTGAAGAATGTGGAAAAAAGGAGGATGTTCTTACCGTCTACTGTCTGTGACACAAACACCACATCAGCCACCTGTAGAGAGAGCTCATCCTGCTGTCTGGCTGTGTACGTCCTTGTCACCTGCATGGTATCTAATGAAGAAATAAATGAATAAATCACTAAACACCCTGACAGTCTGGAACCTAAAATGCTTTCCTAAGTGTAAGCCTAGGATTTTTTCATTTATCAATTTATTATCCACAAAAATCATAAGCTTATAGCAAAACTACACCTCAACATGCAGAATGACTTGAGAATGAGGAATCATTCACATTCATGTGTGTTTAGGGTTATACGCTTAATAATAGTAGTATAGTAGAGTAATAGTTGAGTAGTGTCGCTGTAATACACTGCATGGCCAGAGGGTGGTGCTGTTTCGCTGAGGCTGGTTGCACTTACTCATTCTGTCATTCTTGTCGTTACTGTTGTTCTGTCCCAGAGCGCTGATCCAGCGGGCTCTCTCGTTACTGTCACAAAGAAAACATACAACATTAACTTATAGCCACTGAAGCAGGTTTATTTATTTTTTTGGACTCACAAGTGTATGTGATGTCTGTTAAAACCAAACAACACAGAAGCCATTCCTTTATTGTTCTGGACGTTCACAGACACACACCTCTAGACCCTTGTACAACAGCAGGTAAAGTTACTAGGAGAAACTTGACCTTGGTGCTGAAGCATCCATTACATTCAGGACAAGAAGTGTCTGTTCATTCCTGTAAGCTCCTTTGTGTTTGTTCAGTTTCATTGAGAACATGCCACCAGAAAGAAAGAAAGAAAGGAGAGATGCAGAGAGAAAAGAAAGAGATGGGATTACATTAAATCCTTGACAATTTGAGCTGTGACGTACTTTGTACCTGTTCTATTACTGGCAACATTAATGAGCTTGAACGTGGCTGAACGTGATTACAAATAGTAATTTATCTAAAATGACTGACCAGTTTATTGAGCAACAAATCATTCTAGCATAAGTTCTGAAGGATCATGTGATCTGCAGAAATATCTGCTGAAAATTCACATTTTAATGACATTTAAAAATAGAAAACAATTATTTTAAATTGTAATATTGAACAATATTACTGTTTTTATTGTTTATTTTACTGTAGTCTTGTGAGAATAAGAGACTTCTAACAACAAAAAAATGGTGGGTTTTTTTTATTATTATTTATAAAACAGCACTCAAATCATCAATATGTGACTGAACTGTTGCAATGAGGAAATGACATGATAATGACATGTGACAACCATGTACACACATCCCTTACACATGTATTGTGCATGTCCAGATATTAAATATATGTGAAGCAAACTATGAGAACAAGTATGTTCAGCTGAACCCATCTCCCTCAGCCTCGCTCAACAGGGTGTGCAGTTATCGTGGGAAGGGCAGCTGTCCATTCACATCCCTGGAATCTGAGCACACATGATCACAACAGGTAGCAAATGCCTTCTTGCTGCTCTGCATTACACCAGCTGAATTGCTAGCCAGTGAAAGAACAGCATAGCAAAAAAAAAAACAACAACTTCCACTTCCACCCTACATAATGCTCTTAACATTAATTGAACAGTGTGGTTAAAGTGTTTTCAGCTTGTTTATTTTCATATAAAAATACGGCATGCAGTTGCATTAAACAATGGAATAAACATCATTCAATGTAAATTGTGATAATCGTAATTAATAATCGCAATTACAATTTCAAGGGAATAATCCACAATTATGATTTTGTCATTATCGTGCAGCCCTAGTAGATAGGCATCAGTTATGTAAGTGGATCAGCAATATACTAAGCTATAATTACACTCTCAGCAACAGATAACATGTTATCTCACTTACATGAACACACGGTCACGATCTATGGCTGTGTTTCAAAACCTAGTGAGCTGCCTATTAAAACAGCATCTTTGGTCATTATAAAAGCATTTAAATTTAAATTTAAGCTCCATTTAAATTTACATTTATAAATGAAAGAAATGATCTAACTTCTGCTCAGGGTTATGTGATGCTCAAAAGATCCTCAAAATTGAAAAGCCCAAATGAAAAAAATATATAATGTTTTCTTTAACAGAATACAATGTTATCAGAGAGAGAAAGTGAAAGAGAGGGAAAGGGGAAACAAGAGAAATAGAGAATGAAAATAGAGAATAGAGAGGCAAAAATAAGATCTTACTGTCTTAAAAGTAAAATTTCTGCAGACAGTGCGGTGCTCGCTTATGTAAAACTCGGCATTACAATGTTTAGAGCATTGTGAGTGGTTGCCAAGGGGGAGTTATATGGTTGCTTAGGTGTTCTGCGTGGTTTTCATGTTGCTATGCTGCTGCTAGGGTGTTCTGGGTGGTTGCTAGGTGGTCACTTACTGCCCAAGTCTCTCTGATATTCTGGACTTTCGATATGACTCTTGTCTTTTTGAACTGTCATTTCTAGGCCTTTTTCTGTCCAAACGCAGCACTGAGAACCAGTGTTAATTTCGTCAACGAAGACGACGTTTTTCTGTGACTAAGACGAGAAGTTGATGAGCTAAAACTAATATCTGATGATAAAAACTATAACGAAATTTATGCCGCGTCTTCGTTAAGACGAGACGGGACTAGAATGTTATTTGAGGACTACCTCAATTATGAGGACTACAAAATACATCCTATAGGCTAAGTTAACTGTCTTGTCTTTCAAAATGTGCGTCCCTGTCATTGGATTGCAATCGGATGACGGGCGCTTGCATATCTAGTCTCATGGCAGCCACAGTGGATGGATAGGCTACCAAAATGCGAGCTAGCGATCTGAAACAATGGCCTCAGCACCCGAAGGGTTAGGGATAGGGTGACCAGACGTCTCGTTTTTCCTGGGAGTCACAATTTGTTGTCGATTAACTTAAAGTTAGTGAAGGCGGGATTGGCGGAATCGTGCTGATAGCGGTGCTATCTCTCGCGCACGCTCCACTTCTTCAGTTCTCATACAGCGCACGATCAGTTCTCAGTGCTCAAATACACACACAGCAGTCCAAATGTCTATTGTGTGAGTATCTCACGTAAATATAGTCGGTTATGGCTTAAGTGAACGTAAACAGGTGGGTGAAAACTGAATGTGTGTCTGTATTACATGCATACCTTCAGTCTTAAATGGACAGCATTCCTAATTAAATACCTATCTGTGTCATTAATGTTAACCAACAAAAGATGTTAAATAAATGTGTTAAGTAAACCTACTGTATCTGAAAAAT